AACACTACTAACTGTATGTAGTAGTTAGAATTCTTTTTTACTGCTGGCTCGATCCATACTGTATATTTATTCTTGCATTGTCCGTAAACTGGTCATATATATAATTAGTATTACGATTACCGCAACCTGTTTATATTTCTTCCCTTCCCTCCTCTTTACGGCAGACTGTGGAAAGAAGAACCCTGAAACGCACATCACCCCTCTTGAGCCGCGTGAATACCCCATTTCTCATGGTATGTCTTAGGAAATGGTTTCATATATCTGGGCGCTTGAGAAATTTGGAAGTTAAGGATACTGACATAGTGGTTGGCAGTCCCTGATACTTTTGGCTAAGTCACTTCTAAGCACCTTCGACTAACAGCTATATAATGCTGCAATGGTCATTAATAAACTGTAGTGCATAAATTTCATCTGCAGATGGAACTAGTTCTTCTTCCATAATAGGCTTTAGCTTCAGATAATTTACACCAACTGCAAAAATAGGTCCATTAGAGAGGTATCTTGTCTAAGACTAAAGACCTGCTTGTCCTCCGGTTTCGAAGGTAAACGCTAGTTCTATTTTGGATATTTTAAATTAAAAACAAAAGTGTGGTGTGTTCTAATTGGGAAAAATAAAATCGTTAAAGTACAGAGAGCATAATGAAACACTCCACAAATAACTGGACATAAGTACGCAGGATCTCCAGCAAGCTAAGGCGAAAATTCCACATTTTGGTAATAAAAACGGGACCAGAGAAAATGAAACGATGTTTGAAGTTTCTTGTTTTCATATAATTATTTTCAGTTGACCCACATGTGAAAAACTCGAGGCGTTCGGCGGGACTTCAACCCGCGTAGTAGAGAAGGCCTTTACCGGAAGCCAACGCTCTAACCACTGAGTTACAAAAGCCCCACCTCGCGCCATGAATTTAATCACACTTGGGTCGATATTACCCGCCCAACTTTAACGCTCGTATGGAATCAACCAACACGGAACAACAAGCTGACTGCCCAAGCAGGATTTCCTAAACAATTATCTGGAATCCACCAGAATGACTACTAGGCTGACTTAATTATTAGGAGGTTTGGAAGATTTGCTTGATTTGAGTTGACCCAATTGTGAAAAACTTGAGGCGTTCGGCGGGATTTTAACCAGCGTAGTAGAGAAGGCCTTTACCGGAAGTCAACGCTCTAACCTCGAGTTTTTCACAATTGGGTCAACTCAAATTAAACAAATCTGTCAAACCTCCTAATAACATATAATTACTATCAGTTTCTTCAGGCGTTCTTTCGCTTTTCTAGGCGATACTAGCGGTAAACTATTTTTAATTACTTTATATATTGTGACCCAGTAAAATATTACTTTTTATTAGTTTATAGATTTGGTAGGTTTTAAATTTCTATTACACACCTATGTGCTGGCATATGCCTTTCAATGCTGCTAACATACTAAATATTTCGTCTATCTGATATTTCCTTTGTGGTCGTTTGAGGTTTTATTTTGAACATTTTGGACACACTTTCGCTGCGTCTACCAAACAGGGAGTTCAATGGCCCACAACAAAATTTCCTTCAAATGAACTTAACTAAAATGACGTAAACTTCACGTAAACGTTCTCTCTTAGGATAGTCTTGCTAAGGACGCCCTCGAACATGAGCATGCAAGTTGTTCAGGAGAGTCAGACCATGGTCATCACACTTCTCAACACCTAGTAATATTTAAACTCTAATTTTAAAAAAGGTAGCTTCACAAAATTGAAAACCGTATTTTTAGGAATCTCACATAATTCAATCGTATCTAGAGTAACCAAAATCCAAACAAGACCGTTTTATAGAATATGGAAATAAGAAAGCCCCTTAATACAGGTGATCTTGTGCTAAATTTAGGTAAAATGAATGGCAGGACAGATTTAGAGTTGGGGTTAGTAGTGAGGTTAAGTTTAGGTCTCAGGAATGCGTACTCTTTTTGGCATTTAGCGCAAGGAGCGGTCGTTCCTACTTCCTCATGTTACTGACCGACTTGAGTAAAATGAAAGGTGACATTCATTACAAATGTACAAGACGGAACTCGGGTTCAATAATTTTCAGAACTCTGAATTATACTTCTGCTAGATGAAATGCAAGTCAACCCCGAAGATGTGTGTGTAACCCATATATAATTTTAATAAAGTCACGAATTGAGACGAAAGTTTGCATCCCAGGTGTTTATATAGACAAAGAAGAAGAGAGAAAAGAAGGCACCTTGATCGCCGGGGACACTTTTATCTCTGAGGATGGACTCCAGTAGGAATTAGAAAGTTCAGACGCAGAAAACCATGATTCCGGTGAGCGACGTCCCTTCTTCTTTTTAGTAAAGTGACCAAGGTGAAATAAAAAGTTCAGCCCCCTGGCGCCTACATGACTTCCTTTTCGATATATTTTTGATTATACGAGAGGAAATGGCTAAAAACGGACTGTGCGTTTCTTGTATTATACGCTACTTATACGGTACACAACCGCATACCAGCATAGCGAATTTGACATTCGTTCCCGAATCAGATAGTGATGAATAATACGCTTTTATCAAGCCAACCCTTTTGTCCAAGGCAGTCGAATCCTTCCAAATTTAAATAGACCATTTGTCTTTCTGTAGAACCCTGTAGGTCGGAGTCACCGGCCCGACTGTTGCAGGAGCGATCACAGGAAGCATGGTCTGCTCAGGCTGCCGCAATTTTCGGGAGGTTGTCGGCTGCGTCCTTCTTGCCTCTCAGCACACAGGTTGGAGGCGGGGCCAGTCAACCCGATCCCGCGGTTGTGTCTATGTTACAGACACTCTGGAAACGACTCCATGCCGAGGATGCGGCAGAACTCGAAATTTTCAGCCCCTTAGACGTTGGAGGGACTGCCAAAGAAGGGTGTGGACCCCTCGAACTCGAAGTCACTGATCATTACCGCCTCGGGGTGACCGCAAACGTCATGAAGGACGACGATGTGCCTAAAAGCGTCCAGTCGAACGTTGGTGAAGTGGAGAACGACGATAATACCAGCAATAATAGAAGCAGTGGCAGTAGTAGTGTCAATGCGCATGATGACAATTCAGCAACGAGAGAAGGTGAGAGTTTAGCTTTCGGCCATTTGAGCCCATTTTATGCAGAAAAATGTCAAAAGATAGATTGGCGAGCATACGTTTGCTTTTGATAAATTCTTTTCAGCCATGTACATTTATGTGGTAATCTATCTTTTGATATTTACAATGTGAATCTGCGCAACTTTAGAAAAAAAATATATGCCGGCAGTCTAGTAGAGTACGTTATCGATCAGAGTAGGTAGCAAGCCTCAAGGAGCGTTGAAAGCGATCTTAAGACTCTGTCACCATTAGAAAATGTTAATTATGCAAGTTTGTGATACCGGTTTGAATATAAAATAATTTCGCGTTTCCACTTGCCTTTAGCTAGCGTGATTCCACTACCTGAAGTGTCCAAGTGCCGCAGAGTTAAAAGACAGTTGAGAGTGGAAGGCGTAACGAAGAAGGCAAACTCATAAGAAATAATGCAACGTGTCGATTTTAGTATCAACCGAGATTCCCGAACTTAGCTTTACGCAAAAATGTCTTTGACGGAAAATTCATTTTTTTATATGAATACCTTCCTTCAAGATTCCCTAATATAATTTATCGGGAAAGTAAATGACAACAAACAAGCACCTGAACACTGTGGGTCGCATATTTAAAACCGCCTGAGCAGAGCAAACAGCTAGACTACATTTTATCGGTGCATTAGTGTTAATAATCCTCACCCCTGAAGAAGTAAAAGGAAGCGGAAAGTAGTGTTCACATTCTGATACTCATACAAAATGCAGGCGTTCTCTTCAGTAGTTCTTCCTTCTATGAATGTGCGATTCCCTGTGCTAAGAATTATTACTGATCATCTCGAGACGCAATTATATAAGCGGGTGTTTCGTGCATTTAAATAACCATTGTAAATACTTACTTGTTCTGGACCAATACTTTATATTTTTTATTAGCTCATTTGAGGAGCATAAAAATGTGAACGGGTAAACAATATCTCGTTAAAGATGGGCATTAGCAACACATCAATGAGCAGTTGAGATCACCATATTATCCTTTATTATAGGATAAACACAGCTTCTATGGCCTTCGCTGTCCCAAATATTTCTGCACACCTACTTTTTCCGAGTCTTGGTCAAATATTTAATGCAAAAATCCTTCTTGCCCAAAGCATTTGTAATTTTGCATCACACTAATTCGTTAGACTCTTATTTAGACGTTCAGAAGACATTAACTAAACTTTAGTAGTTTTGCCGTATTCCTTGTACTAAAACTAATGGAAATACGATGGTCTATGTCTTTTAATGAAGGCAGAATAGGATAGTTTTAATGTAGTTCGCGATATAAACGGCCACCTTCTATCGCTGCCCAATTCGAAGATCACGTTGGAGAAGCATAGCACCTTTGAATTTTCGTGCGCATACCAATATGAGGGACAACAGTTACACTACTTCAAGGTCATTCTGTATTTATTGGTATGAATACTCTTAATAGTGCACAGTGATTGGAGGCAAGAGATACGTTGCTACAAAAAAACTGAAATTTGGACAATTGATAAGAGAAGCTGGAAATAACTATCACGTAGATGAAATTGTAGAACTGAATACCTTCCACTGATTTTAGATGCCCTCATACATTCAAGTATATGCCCCAGTAAGTACACACCAAAATATTCAATCTCTTGTTTACTTGGTAGAAAATTTCGTATTTCATTTTTTTCCTTCCAGAAAGGGTATCTTTCAGTTTAAAAAAATTACTCAATTCATGTAAAATACTGAGTCTGAACTTTATGCTGTACACATTCCATCTAAAGAAAAGCACGCATTTCTTTACGCTATTAGAAGGATAAAATGATAAAATAGTTTCCACATTCGGACCGCGGTTCCCGTGACTCGGTTTAGCTTCGGAAGCTCAGGGAAGTTTCAGTTAACCATTTAAAACCTCTTTATTTGTTTAGCTTGGCAGTTCTCGCTAAATGCCAGCAGTAAACCTCTTTTTACATCTCTGCCTTCCAGATGGTGGGCTACAACCACGAGTCGACGAATTTCGACTACGGAAGAAAAAAACGCGTACCGTCTTCTCGCGGAAACAAGTCTTTCAGCTGGAGTCCATGTTCGAGGTAAAACGGTATCTTTCGAGCTCCGAACGCGTCTCCTTGGCACAGGCTCTGCGGCTGACCGAGACACAGGTCAAAATTTGGTTCCAGAACCGGCGTAACAAGTGGAAACGCCAGCTATCTACCGAATTAGACGACGCAGGTGGGTTGGCAGGCACCGCATCTGGCTCCTTTCCTCATGCGGATGAAAATCTTGCCGCCTATCAGTACCGCAATACGCATTCGGAGAGTCTGACCTCACGTGGCTCAGATATAAACGAACCAACAGAAACTCCCGGGGACATTTTCCGTGTTCCCAAATTAGAGGAACCAAACTTGCAAACTTTTCTGTATGCACCTCAGGCGGGCAGACAGTCGGCTATCACAATGCCCTGGTTTCTGCCGCCCATGGGCCTTCAACTTTCGCGTTTAGAGTTCCCACCCAGAGGACCTGCCTTCCCAACGATGTATTCATCATCTACGCCACATGAATCCTCCGACGCTGGAGTCCTAGGACGGATTACGCAAGCGGAGAATGTGTCGGGTTTGTCTACGATCTCTGTTCCCACCGCCTCAAAGGGCTTCTGGCAGTATCTAGAGACTGCAAGCCCACTATCACTACTGCAAATTCAGGTTCGGGCAGAGAAACCGCAACTGCGAAAACAATAGCAGTTGTCGGATCATCTTCCTCTACCTCCTCTGACTACACGCCCGTCTTGCTAGTCCTGATTTGACGCTCAAGCCCTGTCCTTGCGATTTAAAATCTGCACTTTTTACAATCCCCACCACTGAAGGACAACTCTTGTTTGACTTCAAGTTAGTGAACGCCTGTAATCTATATAATTTTTTTTCTTGTCTCATATACAAAGTATAATAGAGGTATGCATCTCATTATACCGGGATTCTGAAGTCAAAGGTCGAAGTAACATCCACTAAGAAGTAACTAGCGGAAAGTAAAAAGA